GTTTCTCCATGTTAGCTAGGCTGGTCTCAACCTCCTGACCTCAGCTGTTTTCTTTCTTAAGAAAGAATTCAGTGTGAGTCCATAAAGTTAAAAGCAAGTTTATTAAGAAAGTAAAGGAATTAAAAAACGGCTACTCCACAGACCCAGCAGCCCTGAGGGCTAATGGTTGACCATTTTTATGGTTATTTCTTTATTATATGCTAAACAAGGGGTGGATTATTCATGCCTCCCCTTTTTAGACCATATAGGGTAACTTCCTGTCGATGCCATGGCATTTGTAAACTGTCATGGTGCTGGTGGAAGTGTAGCAGTGAGGACAACCAGAGGTCACTCTTATCACCATCTTGATTTTGGTGGATTCTTTATTGCAACCTGTTTTATCATCAGGGTTTTTATGACCTGTATTTTGTGTCAACCTTCTATCTCATCCTGTGACTTAGAATGCCTTAACTGTCTGGGAATTCAGCCCCATAGGTTTTAGCCTTATTTTACCCAGCTCCTAGTCAAGATAGAGTTGCTCCAATTTACATGCCTGACAGTGGATTATGGGCGTAAGCCACTGCGCCCAGCCTACCTCAAGATTTTTGTTGGTTTCTTACACATATGCTGTTACTTCCATTCACATTCCATGATCTTCCCCCCTTTTCCTAATGTCCATGAATAATAGCCTATGTCTCTTGTATTATTTTTACATTATTTGAAAAATTTTCTGACAAATTTGTTTTTGGAATACATCCTGTGTTTTCACAAGCATTACTACAGAGGACAGACCTTCCTGAGACTGGTGATGAATAATGTCAAAAGTTTAAAATCTGGGTCTCACATATCAAAACTTTCTCAGAAGTTATTCTTATGTTTCATTATGAACATGATAAACAGACTTTCAAAGTGAAGGGGTTTTCACCTTTTGAAAGCTCTTTAACAGGTAGGATCTGCTCAGCAAGCTACAAAGACAATAAAGTTGTAATGACCATAAAAAAGGAAGAGGTCCACACAACTGGGAAGAACTGCACAGGTAGTTTCTTTGTACAGTCTATGCTGTTTCCTCCCACTCTGAAGTGAGGAACAAGCAATTGAGAAGTGTAGAATGCAAAAACTGAAAAGCTTTCTGTTACAGGTTGAATTGTGTTCCCAAATTCACATGTTGATGTCTTAACACCCCAGAGGTAATCATATTGAAATGAAGTTAATTAGGATGAGCTCTAATGCAATCTGACTGGTGTCCTTATAAAAAGGGGAAATTCGGACATCGAGACGTGCATAGAAGGAAGATGTGCAGAGACATAGGGAGATTAGCCTAATCAAAAAGTGCAAATTGAAGAAATGGAAAACTAGCTCTCATGATCAAGTTAATTTAGCATAAAAGTATAATTGATAGTGAAGGTATAAAGTGTAAAACCATCATTTAAACCTTTCCTATGTCATTCATAGCTTTCTTGTTTCAGAATTGCAATGGAAGATTTTCCTATTGTGTGGAATTTCATTGAGATGGTATAGAATTTGGGTCTGGGAAAATGTTTTAATGGCCTCCTTAAACCAGTTGTTGTGATTTTATTGTTAGTGAGTTAATTAGAACAAAGAGATTTTCTTCGAAGACAAAAACATAACAACTAGCAGACCAAAATGTCTTTTGCAATAATAAACTTCTCGGAATCAATACTCACTGCTTTGAAACCCAAAATGAAAATACTCCTTTATAGCAAGAAGAGGAACTATAAGCTTTATGTTTATCATAAATGAATGAACAAACTGTGGAAGTTAGATTACTATTTTGACTAGTTGGTGTTTCAAAGTCAAACGACATACTGCTTTTGCTTACCGCTGCTAACCAGAATTCCTTTTCTAAATTTTTTTTTGAGACGAAGTCTCGCCTGTCGCCCAGGCTGGAATGCAGTGGCAAGATTTTGGCTCACTGCAAGCTCCACTTCCTGGATTCACGCCATTCTCCTGCCTCAGCCTCCCGAGTAGCTGGGACTACAGGCACCCACCACCATGCCTGGCTAATTTTTTCTATTTTTTAGTAGAGACAGGGTTTCACCGTGTTAGCCAGGATGGTCTCCATCTCCTGACCTCGTGATCCGCCTGCCTCAGCCTCCCAAAGTGCTGGGATTACAGGCGTGAGCCACCGCGACCGGACTGCTAACCAGAATTCTTATTCTGGAAACCCAGTCATTTGATAGTTTTCCAGTCAATGGATTGTCTGCTTTAAGAATATGATTTTCTTTTCTTCTTCTTCTCCTTCTTCTTCTTCTCCTCTTCCTCTTCTTCTTCTTTTTTTCAGAGACAGAGGCTTGCTCTGTCACACAGGCTGGAGTGCAGTGGCGCCATCTCGGCTCACTGCAACCTCCACCTCCTGGATTCAAGAGATTCTCCTGCCTCAGCCTCTCGAGTAGCTGAGATTACAGGTGTCTGCCACCATGCCCAGCTAATTTTTGTATTTTTAGTAGAGGTGAGGTTTCTCCATGTTGGCCAGACTGGTCTCGAACTCCTGACCTCAGGTGCTGCACCCGCCTCAGTCTCCCAAAGTGCTGGGATTACAGGCGTGAGCCACCAAGCCTGGTTGATAATTTTATAAAATAAAAAAAAGCAGGCGGGGCGCAGTGGTGGTGGGCGCCTGTAATCCCAGCTACTCGTGAGGCTGAGGCAGAGAATCGCTTGAACCGAGGAGGAGGAGGTCGCAGTAAACTGAGATTGCGCCACCGCGTTCCACTCTAGGCAATAGAGCGAGACTCCGTCTCCAAAAAAAAAAAAAAAAAAAAAAAAAAGTAAAAGAAAAGAAAAGGCAGGCTGGGCGCGGTGGGAGGCCGTAATCCCAGCACTTTGGGAGGCCGAGGCGGGTGGATCACCCGAGGTCGGGAGATAGAGACCAGCCTGACCAACATGGGGAAACCCTGTCTCTACTAAAAAATACAAAAATTAGCTGGGCATGGTGGCAGCACCTGTAATCCCAGCTACTCGGGAGGCTGAGGCAGGAGAATCGCTTGAACCCAGGGGGCAGAAGTTGCAGTGAGCCGAGATCGCGCCACTGCACTCCAGCCTGGGCGACAGAGCGAGACTCCGTTTCAATTAAAAATAATAATAAAAAAAAAACAAATACAGAAAAAGTTAGACGTTATTATTACCAAGATGTTTCTGCTCCTTCAAACTGCAACAGTAGTTGTAATTTCAGTGCCTAGAACAGTAGTAATTGGCAGGTATAAGGCGCTCAATGAATAGCTGCAGGATTAACTGATCATTGTCTCCCTGAACAATTCCTCCTGCACCATACCATAGTCAAAACACAAAAAGCCAAAATATAAAAGCCCCTAATACAACTCCGAGTCCGTGGAGCCAGGGCTTTACACAAATGTATGTCGTGTACTACATATTAATACATATGCACATACAATATTTTGTTCTTCCGGTGTTAACGACTAATGGAGGCAAATCTTTCTCCCTTTCGTAAAGGGCTAAAACTTTGCATTTTAAGGAAGTTCCGAGAGCTGGGTCGGAGGGGAGTGTCAAAGGGCACAGACTTTCCAGATCGCAGAAAACCCCCACGGTCTTAGTACTCGCTACCGTCGACTGCGCAGGCGCAGGAAGGGGCGGGACCGAGGGGAGAGGCGATTCGCGGGATTCCAGAGGGCCCGCCTCTCGCTGCGTCAGTTGGTCACGTGGTTGTTCGGAGCTGGCAAGCGGAGTTGGTAGGGCTTTACTGCAGAGCGCGCCGGACACTCCAGCGACAGTGGGGATCAGCGTAGGTGAGCTGTGGTCTTTTTCGAGGTGCTGCAGCCACAGCGTTCGCTACGAGGATTGAGCGTCTCCACCTAGTAAGTGTGCAAGAGGCGGCAGGAAGTGGGTACGCAGGGGCGCAAGGTGCCCAGCCCCTAGACGACTCGGTTTCGTTCCGGCCACCCTCTGAAGCCGCGTCCTACTTTGACAGCTGCGGGGCCGCGGCCGGGGTAAGGGCGAAGGGGTTGTTGAACGGTCGCTGGTGGCGCGGCGGGGTAAGGAGGTGAGTCAAGGGACTGCCCCATTGGCTGGGTCGGTTTTGGCGCGCTCTCACTTCCACGCTCCCTATTGGCTGGCTGGCGCAGTTCCCGAGTCGCGCGCCGCGGTTGGTAGGTCGGGCGCGCGGGGCCACACTGCCCGCCCCCTAGCCTGGCGCTGGGCCTCCGGGACCAGCTGGCTGGGTCCGGGCTTGGGGAGTGCAACGCTGGTGAGGGACTCAGCCTGGGCGTGCCTAGCTGTGGGGATGAGGCGAGGCATCCATCCTCTTGGCAGTTAAGTGGCTTGTCCTGATGTGAGGGATCTGCAAATATGGCTCATGGGAAGAGGTCGCTGAATCCTGCGTCTCCCATTAAACGGATACTGGCGTTGCTGATACGAGGTTCGCATGGATCCCTGTCCTATGCCGGGGTTTTTAATCTAGCCATTAAAGAAACTAGAGAATAACAAGCAAGTAAGGGTGCAGGGTCGCTGATAGGCGTGGGAAACTTGTGAAGGATTAGACTGCTAAGTGGTTTTCAGCTTTTTTCATACTAAAGTACATTTTACATCGCAACTTAGGACACAGCCATCTAACCAACTGAGACGTTGATGGAAGCACTATTTCTCATCTTTTCAATTCCATTCTGTTCAGTTGCATTTTTCTAAGCAGTGTTGCTCATGATTAACTAAATGATTTTGAGATCACGACCCGTGACCCACAGTTTGAAGAACATTGCCTGGGGTCTGTTTACTGGGGCCCAAACCGCATTTTCTTAACATTAAATGCAGTAGAAAATAGCAGGGTGCCCGCACAAATTAGATTGTTTTGTTTTCTAAGCTTTTTTTTTTTGTAAGATGGAGTCTCACTCTGTTGCCCAGGCTGGAGTGCAGAATCTCGGCTCACTGCAGCCTCCACCTGCACTGCAGCCTCCACCTCCACTGCAGCGATACTTCTGCCTCAGCCTCCCGAGTAACTGGGACTACAGGCGAGCACCACCGTGTCCGGCTGATTTTTGTATTTTTGGTAGAGACGGAGTTTCACCACGTTGGCCAGGCTGGTTTCGAACTCCTGACCTCAGGTGATCTGTCTGCCTCGACCTCCCAGCACTTTGGTGATCACTCAGGCGATCCGCCTGCCTCGACCTCCCAAGGTACTGGGATTACAGATGTAGCCACCGCACCCGGCCTTTCCTCAGCTTTTTTGTTTGCACATGTGTGTGCGCGCGCGCCAGGACACAAGGTAAAATGTATTAATGTTAGAAAAGTCACTGCACTGAGTAAAGGCATGGCCACAAAAATTAGGGACATCTATCTAGTAGGCACAGGCGCAGACACGGTGGGGGGCAGTGGGTAGTGGGCAGTGGAGGAGCAGTTCAGATGCTGAGTTTGTTGTGAGTTTGGCCAGTGGTCTAGTTAATCACATTACATATATCCCTTTCTACCTTTTCCCTCTTTCTTGCTTGTTAGTACTTCAGTTCATGTTACTGGTTAAACATTTCCTACAAATGTAAATGCATGATCTCATTTGACCTGATATTAAGTCAGTATTAAGTTATTGTCAGGGCCGAGTTTATCATACCTTAAATCTGTCTTTGAAGCAGGAAAGTTAAGATGTTGCTCTTTAGGATGGACCTGGGCATACCCTAGTGTCTGTATATTTTGCTATTTCTGGTGAGTATTTCTCAGATCTTTGAGAGCCCTGTATTTAATCCAGGACAATACGTTTAGAAATTTTAAACCAGTTTTAAAAATTGGTTTAAAATACATTAATTTCATTTTTTCAGACATAATTATTATGTGTATATATGTAAAATATAGATATCAAGAGTCATTAACTTTAGTCACCTTAGTCACTGACAGGGCTGAGTTTGGATTAAGAGAGAAAAAATAATAGTTCTACTGTACAATAGTATAATTTTTATGATTGTAAGTATTTTAAACCTAGACTCCACCTTCAGGGGTGCAAACCATATTGTTTTTTAATTACTAGTCTTCTGTGCTGCACCATCTACGTAATGAATCCCAGTATGAAGCAGAAACAAGAAGAAATCAAAGAGAATGTAAAGGTATGTGATTGAATAACTTTAATTTCTTTTGTAGAAAGCATGGGGTTAAAATAAAAGTATTTTATTTTAAAATTTTGACATGATTTAGCCAAATTTAGCCTGGCTGTAAGCCTTGAGTTAGTCAGAGGATGAGTAACAATAGAGAACGTTTTAAAAAAACTAATTACGGTAGAATATTAAGTGTGACCGAAGAATGTGGGTTGTCTCTTATTTTGGTCTTTCAACAGTAGTCTGTAGTTTTCAGAGCATGAATTTTACACAATTTGTGTTAAATTTTTTCCTAAGTATTCGTTTTGAGGTTATTGTGAATGGAACTGTTTCCTTAATTTCATTCTCATTTGGTCATTGCTACTGCATAGGAAAAGAGTTGACTTTTGTATCTTGATTTTGTGTCCTGAAACCTTACTGAACTTGTTTATTAGTTCTAATTGTTTTTTAGTAGATTCTTCAGGATTTTCTTTTCTTTTTGTATTTTCTCTGTGAAGATTCCAGAAGTATCTTTAGGATTTTCTATGTATAAGATTTACTCCTTTGTTTCTACTCTTATATTTCATGAAATGATGTTATTAAAATCCTTTGTGTATATCTTCAGAATTAAGGGTCTTTGACCACAGACATGTTTTGCATTATATTACACATTTTTCTAGAGTATACTGTATTCATTACCATCTAACCTATTTGATTTGCAATACTTTTTGAATCCCTATATGATAGTTTCACTGGAAATCTTATTCCAAGTATTTATTGTTATGACAACAGGACAGAGTTTGTTTAGTTTTGGGTTTATAATTTTGACTAGATTCATATTTATGGTTCTAAGTGAATTTACAATTTAGCTAGGTCCTTCCATACAAATTAATATGAATACCTTGGGAATTGGACCAGATCTTCAGGAAAATTATCAATTTATGGGTTTAAATTAAATAAAGAGCCAGATGCCCATGGTGGCTCATGCCTGTGATCCCAGCTACTTGGGAGGCTGAAGTAGGAGGATTGATTGAGCTCAAGAGTTTGACAACAGCTTGGGCAACAAAGGGAGACCTTGTTTCTAAAAAACCATAATTTTTACCATTGGTGGCACCCACTGGTAATCCCAGCTACTGTGAGGCTGAGGTGTGGGAGGAATTGCTTGAGCCTAGGAGTTGTGACTGCTTCACTGCACTCCAGCCTGGGTGACAGAGTAAGACCCTGTACCTAAAAAAAAAGTTTTAATATTAAGTAAGCTAAATCGAGTACTTAAAAGCCATTGATAAGTATAAGCAAGTACCTTTTGAAGGGTTTTTTGTTTGCCTTGCTTTTCTTAGGATTCTTACATTATTTTTCTCGAATAATAGTTTGCATTGACAATTTGTGAATTTGATTCCATTGGCTTCCATTTAGGATGATGGCATCTTCCCACAGTGCTTTGTGTGTGATTATTTAAAATTTTTGTTATGAAATTTTTGAAATATTTAAAAGTAGAGTCAGTATTTTAATTTACCTCCTCAACTTCAGCAGTTACCACTATATGGCCAATTTGGTTTCATCTGTGTCCTTATTTACTCCACTTTTCCTTCAGTGGATTAGTTTGAAGCAAATCAGAGCCAAATAATTTATATATTTCCAGCAGATTACATTTTTAAAAAAGTCTTGTGTTTACTAGCTACAGTAAAACTATCTTGAATATAAAGGTTACTGGGTTCTGTTTGGTTTTGGTTCTACCTCCAAAACTGAGACCTTGGGTGGGTTAGCATTTCAGCCTCAGTTTACTCATCTGTAAATTGAGGGAACTGGTCTAGAACTCATTGTGAGTTGTATGCAAAATTCTGTGTGAATGTGCTTTTATGTGAATTTTTTGGGGGAGAGGATTCACAGAATATTAAATAGTTTTCCAAAAAGGTTAAGACCCATTAATATACAAGAAACTTTCTGGCTTTAAGAGTCTATTATTCCAATGCATACTCTATATACAGAAAATAATAATAATAATATTACATTGTTTTAGGCCTATACAGCTTATATAAATAAAAGTTAAATCTTGGAAATGGTCTTTTTTTTTTTTTTTTTTGGTGACAGTAATTTAGCTTGCTTCTTTGACCATTATTAACAGCAAGCATTTAAATAAATTAACACCTCTTACTAGTAAGGTTCCAATGTTTCATTTTCTTTTATTTGTCTGCAGACTGTTGACTAATCTATAATCTAAATTATATCTGAAATGTTGGTATAATATTTGTTCTCACAGTAGCTGGCGTTTGTCCTTCGTTAAATGGTGAGATAATAATCAGCAGTAGAAACTTTACCGTGGGAAAGGTGAATTCTTGTCATGTGAGGTACAGTGTGGAATCAGTAACTTTCTCACGCTGGTATGGTATCATGTTCTTGCTAACCTTGTTTGAGTATTCACCATTGTTTGCTATTCCATGGTGGCAGTATAACTAATGATATTTTGCAAAAATAAGAGAAAACTTTCAGGTCATGAAATATACAGGAAGTTATTTACATATTACAAGGAAGGCAATATTTTTACCAAAACAATAGCTTTGGCATTTTAGAGTAGCTTAGTATGCCTCAGGCACTGACATTTTAGCCGCCTTCTAATGAATGGGCTTGAAGCAGAACTGCTTCTACTATCAGGTAATGGTTGAGGGGGGATGTCTATTACACATGTACTTTGTTTTGTGTAAAGTATGTTCTGGAAAATTACATTCTTTCGGTGAGTACATATAAGTATTTGGGGGATATTCATGATTTAAGGAGGCCTGAGATGAATCTTTTTGATTAGGGAAAGAAATATTTTGCAGTGTAAATGATTAACCTTTTCTCCCAGTTGACCTGTTTGGTGAGTTCATACCATAAATGTTACGATGTTTGGTTTTATAAAAGAGTACCTGTAAGTTTTTAGTTTTTGTGTGGAAGATTTTTCAGAGAGAATACAGATATCCTTCTTGTATTAGAATTTTGTCATATATGGTTTGAACTGTTCATTGGAGCTGAGGAATTTTGTTATGTTTGTTTTAACTAGATATGATTAACAAAATGACCATAGCAAGAGCATACATTGAAATGAGAGAAGTTATGTGTGTTTGTGTCTAGTTTGGGTAATATGATTCATTCTTAAGAATTCTTCAAACTTTATTGTAATTTTTGGAAATAACGTTTGTCAGTTGATTAAACCAGTGTCTTGTTCATAGGTAACCTTATAAAATTATATAGCTGACCAAATGTTTGTGTTCTTAGTGTTTCTTTTCCCCCCCTAAATTATAGAAGGACTAAGAGTAACACTGCATACAGAAACTCAGTAACTAAATAACCATATAGCAACTCAGTAACTAAATAACCATATTGCAACTCAGTAACAAGATAATGAATTATCTTGACTTTTTAGAATAGTTCTATCCAAAGAAGAACTCTGAAGATGATTCAGCCTTCTGCATCTGGATCTCTTGTTGGAAGAGAAAATGAGGTATGCACTATATGGCTAAAATGGGGTACTGGTGATACAATGTCTACATTAAAAACATTTCTACTATTTTCTTGGTCAGAAACACATAAATTGTTGAAATTGGAAAATAATTTGGGAATAACAATTACATATTTCCCAAAGAAGTGATTCTGGTTTTAATTGTTCAATTTAAGAAGTTCGCTGGGTGTGGTGGTTCACGCCTGTAATCCCAGCACTTTGGGAGGCCGAGGTGGGTGGATTGCCTGAGGTCAGGAGCTTGAGACAAGCCTGGCCAACATGATGAAACCCCATCTCTACTAAAAGTACAAAAACATTAGCCGGGTGTGGTGGCACACACCTGTAATCTCAGCTGCTCGGAAGGCTTGAGGCAGGAGAATCACTTGAACCCGGGAGGTGGAGGTTGCAGTGAGACGAGAGCACACCACTGCACTCCAGCTTGGGTGACAGGGTGAGACTCTGTCTAAAAAAAAAAAAATTAAAATTAAAATTAAAAAAAATAAATAATTTCAGCTAAGCTCTAGACCCCAGTCTAATCCAAAATAATTGTTGCAAATAAAATTCCTAAAATGTTACTATACATTTTGGTAGAATTTTTAATTGTATAACTTTTTTAAAGATCCAGAGATGTAAAAAAGATATGTGTTCTCTTTTTTTAATACATAAATGAAAAACCACCTAATTTCTTGTTAATTAAATCAAAGTAAATACAGTTGATAAGTGTTTTCATTATAGCTGTCCACAGGCTTGTCCAAAAGGAAACATCGGAATGACCAGTTAACATCTACAACTTCCAGCCCTGGGGTTATTGTCCCAGAATCTAGTGAAAATAAAAATCTTGGAGGAGTCAGCCAGGAGTCATTTGATCTTATGATTAAAGGTACGAAAAAATAGATAACTTTTGTCTTAAAATTTTAAATTATGATATAAGGAAGAATTTGTTAATACTATTATGAATTCTGCCAATTACCATAATCTGGGGTTAGTATAACAGCACTATAAATGTTTTTGTGTGACCATTTGTTTGACAAGATCCATGTGTGGATGAAACGTTAGGAAAAGGAGGCCCAGTGCAGTGGCTCACGCCTGTAATCCCAGCAATTTAGGAGGCTGAGGCAGGAGGATAGCTTGAGTCTAGAAGTTTGAGACTAGCCTGGACAACACAGTGAGGCTCTATCTCTGTGAAAAAATTAGCAGAGCATGGTGGCTTGTGCCTGTATTCCCAGCTACTCAGGAGGCTGAGTCAGGAGGATCACTTGAGCCTAAGAGTTTGTGGCCTCAGTGAGCTATGATAGCACCACTGTACTCCAGCCTGGGAGGCAGGGCAAGACCCAGTCTCTGAAGGAAAAGAAAAGGGTGGGGGGAAAGGATAGTTATTAATATGACAGCTCTGATATTGGATTGCCTTGTAAGGGTTTACAAGACTTGGAAATAGGCTTTTTGGAAGAAAAATGTTTAGATAATGAGTTGAAGTATGAAAGGAATTTGAATATTCCAGGAGAGTATGGTGTAAAGAAACCAATAAGAATATGGATAAAGAGAGTGAAGATGAATGAGAAGAATTATGCCTGTAATAAATACTAGTTTTTAATAGAATGGCAGTATACATCAGAAGAAGAAGCAACTGATGTTTTGTAAGCATTATGGAAGATTATTATTTCTGTGTGAATTATAGGTCATTGGATGTTAATTACTGATAATAAAATTGAGGCCTAGAGAAGTTAATTGACTTGTTCAAGGTCACAGTAACATTTGGGCTCATTTTGAATTGCCTTGAAGACAGGAAGAAGAGAAGTAGACAGTAGGATTTTTATTAGGAAAAATTAGGAAAGGTTGACTGGATAGAAATAAAGAAGCTCTTTAAAAATATTGTAGATTAAAGAGCAGGATTTGTGACACTCATATCTGATTAAGTTAAAAATTACATCAAGGATTAGTTAAAATAAACTAAAGTTAAATATCAAGACAAATAACTGTATATCATACTGCTAATATAACCACAGGTGGAAAACATTATCCATGTGACCCTTTGGCATATATGGTAAAAATTAAAATAATTGCAAAGAAATCCCAAACTTTATTACATTTGTTGTTTGAACTTTGTTATATTCGTTGGCAGTGGTATTATTGTAATTTTGGGGAAAAAAAAATTGTGTATATTTTAGGATTGAGCAAATGAGTAACATGTTGAAGTATTACATTTCCTAGCACTGCCCCTAAATAGGTAGAAACAAACTACACCTCTGTAGCAAGGAGCACACCCTGTATCCAGTTCTTGGTTTGTAAACAGTATTCTTCACTAAAGTTCCTTGGAGAAATTGCTGATTCCACGTCAGGGGCAGGGAAACTTTAGGTGATCATGGATTATCTTGTGACAGAAAATAAGGAAGTACTCAAAAACGGGTGGACATGTTGAAAGAACACACGTCATCTTGGAAGGATTCTCACAGACTAAAGTTGGGAAAATTTGAGCATCAAAATGAATAACGACAAGAATGGATTATAATGCATTGAATACAAAAGGATGTATGAGTCCATACTGATAAATTTTCTTTTAAATTGGGGTAGGAAAAGTTTTTATTTACAGAATAATGCTAACTACTACATGTAGAAGGAATTATATAAGTGAAAAAAATCGATTTTCCATCCACTGTATAAGTAATAGATAAAAGCCGGAAACATCAATCATCAATGGAATTAAACTTAGGTAAAAAGTTGTTGGAGAACAGGGTATTGACAAAGTCTCAAATATTTTACTCTACAGATCATTAGTTAATTACTAAGGGAAAAAGTTATCCTTACAAGGCAGAAATCTGATAGATAGCATCTTAATCAAATGATCAAATTTAACGTCTTCAATATCATGACAAATTGGCATGTGCTTCTTGATGATACACTGAGGATACATACTTACATAGTATTCTTATACTATACTTATATAGTATTCCTGCCAAAAATGTTTAGTTTGAATCTAATCATGGAGATAGAAATAACAAATTAAGGATAGTGTACAAAATAACTGATTGGACTTTGTAAAAATGTCATTGTTACATAAAAAGATATGACCTCACAAAACAAATGTGTTACAAAAATCTTTAATAATCTAGGTGGAAGAGATATACCTATTGTACTTTTGTTGTAATTCTTCTGAAGGATTGAAATCTTTGAAATGTTGGGGAAAATAGAAGAATACTGATTTTATTTTCTAACTTTACCCTTTTAAAAATGAGTATTACTAAACAATATGGGAGGGTACTGAGATTGGAAATTTTTTTGAAACAAATTACTGGGTTTTGACAGTAATGATTTTTAAAGTTATATGTAAAATATTATTTTAGAAAATCCATCCTCTCAATATTGGAAAGAAGTGGCAGAAAAACGGAGGAAGGCGCTGTATGAAGCACTTAAGGAAAATGAGAAAGTATGTATTGAGTATCATTTGTACTATTTAAAAATTCTAGGATTGTTTTACTCTTGCTGCTTAGCATATTTTGTTAGAGCAATATGAACTGGCTTTAATATTGGCTTAAGAAAAGTTTAAGTAAAAAGGCAGCTCTTGACAGAATTACACAAAATGAATCCTGTTGTGTTGAGAGTTAATTCTGTGCTGCATGTCTTCCATGTTATATACTTGGAGGCATGTAATTTGATTTATAGCACAGCAAATCTATAGAATACTGAACTTTGTTTATGTAATATAGCTTCATAAAGAAATCGAACAAAAGGACAATGAAATTGCCCGCCTGAAAAAGGAGAATAAAGAATTGGCAGAAGTAGCAGAACATGTACAGTATATGGCAGAGCTAATAGAGGTAGGTAATTTAATAGTTACCTGGTTCAAATTTATGTATTTGTCTATAAAGTTCAGGTAGTATGTAGTGTGATCCCTTTGAAGTGTTTGAGCTCTGGAATCAGGTTTCCTGGATTTGAGTCTTAACTTCCTAACACCATTAAGTTTGCTGGGTAGAGTGGGTTTATCCGGTCAGGGCTTCATCTTCCTCATCCATAAAATGAAAGTAATGATGATGCCTACCAGAGACTTGTTATGAGAATTAAATGAGTTATAATAGATGGACAGTTGCAAGGAGTACTTGCAGAGAGTAAAAGTTCAGTAACTTTATTATTATTACGAAGCAAAAGACCATCTTTTTTTGGAAGAGTTATTAAAAGGAATTATCCCTGGAAAATAGGTGTAGAAAATTATTTCATAGTTGACACATTTTTAGATAGTTTTAATTTTTTAAAAAATTTTTATTTATTTTTATTTTTTTTGAGACGGAGTCTCGCTCTGTCACCCAGGCTGGAGTGCAGTGGCGCGATCTCGGCTCACTGCAAGCTCCGCCTCCCGGGTTTACGCCATTCTCCTGCCTCAGCCTCCCGGATAGCTGGGACTACAGGCGCCTGCCACCTCGCCCGGCTAGTTTTTTGTATTTTTTTTTTTTTTAGTAGAGACGGGGTTTCAGCATGTTAGCCAGGATGGTCTCGATCTCCTGACCTTGTGATCCGCTCGTCTCGGCCTCCCAAAGTGCTGGGATTACAGGCTTGAGCCACCGCACCTGGCCGATAGTTTTAATTTTAATACCAGCTTGACATTACTGTCATTTATAAAATTGCTAATTTGTACACTAAATAAGTTTTGTGTTTTTTTCTGACTTTAAAACATTTTGTAAGTAGCTAATGTGTTTGTTAAGAATTAGCCTAAGTGTTGCTTTATCAGACTTGACCTTAAAAAGGTGTTAAGATTTATTTATACATGTTTGCAAAAAGTTTGTCTTGCTGATAGGAAGAAAGTTTTTCAAATCAAAACTTTTCATGTAACTGAATTGTGACCTTACATTTGAGACCCATGATAGAATTAATGTTTGAAGTTTTCATTTGGAAATACTGTGGTAACTCTCTTAACTGCCTTAAAAGTATTAATCCACAGCTGATTGGAAATGTAGAACACCTAGTTGTCCCTGCAGCTGATTGGGAAAGTACCTGTTTATAGTCTGAAATCATTTCAGTGCTTTTTTAAAAAAAAGGCAAATTATTAAACACTTTGCTGACTATGATCTAGCGTGGTAGACTTTGATATCACACTGTTTATAAATGAATTTATTGAGGGGCAAGATGAAAAAAATCTCATAGCTATATCAGTATGCTATACGGATCAGCTATATCAATATGCTGATCAACTTAGGTTTTAACATTTTTACAATAAATTATTGGTTTATTCTTTAAGAGACTGAATGGTGAACCTCTGGATAAATTTGAATCACTGGATAATCAGGAATTTGATTCTCAAGAAGATACTGTTGAGGATTCTGTAGGGGAAGACTCAGAAATTGGCACATGTGCTGAAGGAATTGTATCTTCCTCTACGGATGCAAAGCCATGTATATGAAATGCATTAATATTTGACTGTTGAGAATTTTACTGCCAAAGTTTACCTCCACTAGTTCTTTGTAGCAGAGTACGTAACTACATAATGCCAATTCTGGAATCAAGCTTCCTTGTTTGAATCCTGGGACCCTATTGTATTAAAGTACAAATACTATGTATTTTTAAACTATGATGGTTTATGTAAATAGGATTTTCTCAGTTGTCAGCCATGACTTATGTATATTACTAAATAAACTTCAAACTCCTGTTGAACATTGTGTATAACTTAGAATAATGAAGTATAAGGAGTATGTGTAGGAAATTTGTCTGTTTCTATGCTTTTATGTTGTTCTCTTTCCATTCTTTTGCTAACTACCTTGGAGAAAACAAGGAAGAAACGAACTTAAAGTATTTAGACTGAGATAGCTGAGGTTTTAACTCCCAAACTTTGTTGTACCTCAAGCTCACTGTAGACACTATTGATATTAACAGGTAGTTTTATGGAATGGGGCATGAGAATCTATTTTTCAAAAGCTTTTCAAGTGAATGTGATTAGCCAGTGAAAGGCTCAACTGGCTAGCAGGATCACACTATTCTTGGAAGCTTAAAATGATGGATGATGATAATAATCCTAGAGAAACAAAGTAAGGAGTGGGTGAAAGTTTGACAGAAAAAAACAGGAATAGCTGAAAATTATGGAGCTTTTCTATTTCACATATTGGTATAGTGCAAAGTATGTAAATATTGAAGAATACGAGTAGGGTCAGATTCATTAGGGATTTCCCATATATACTAAGTTTTAAAGGAGGAAAAGTACAAACTAGGGGTATGCAGCACTGGAATTAAAGTTCTGTGAGAGGCATACAAGTAGTTTTGTATAAATTGGCAATAAAGAGCAATGTCATGCTTTACGCATTTTTCCCCCCTTTGAGATGGAGTCTTGCTCTCGTTGCCCAGGCTGGAGTGCAATGGCACCATCTCAGCTCACTGCAACCTCTGCCTCCCTGGTTCAGGTGATTCTGCCTCAGCCTCCGGAGTAGTTGTGATTACAGGTGCCTGCCACCACACCTGGCTAATTTTTGTATTTTTAGTAGAGATGAGGTTTCACCATGTTGGCCAGGCTGGTCTTGAACTCCTGACCTCAAGTGATCCACCCACTTTGGCCTCCCAAAGTGTTGGGATGACAAGTGTGAGGCACCACGCCTGGCCTCAAGCTTTTGAAAGGATTGAGGTAAGTATCCTTACAGAACCTTAATTTTCTCTCTTTTTTTTTTTGAGATAGGGTCTCACTCTGTCACCCAGGCGGGAGTACAGGGGTGGAGTACAGGGGTGCAATCTCAGCTCACTTTAGCCTCCACCTGCTGGGCGCAAGTGATCTTCCTACTTTAGCCTCCCAAGTAGCTGAGACTACAGGTGCGTGCCACCACACCCGGCTAATTTTCTGTATAGACGGGGTTTTGCCACGTTGCCCAGGCTAGTCTTGAATTCCTGGCATCAAGCGATTGCCTGCTTCATCCTCCAAAGTGTTGGGATTATAGGCGTGAGCCACTGCACCTGGCCTTAATTTTCTTTAATACTGAGATAAAGCCTACCTCACAGTGTTATCGTGAAGATTAAAACCTTTAGTGTCTGGACTAAGTGCCTTAAAAATGGAAGCTATTATTAATCTATAACAACATTGTCCAGTAGAACTTATTGGGATGATGAGAATATCTGCTATACAGTATGGTAGCCATTCCTGTGTGGCTGTTTAGCACTTGAAGTGTGGCTAGTGTGAACGAGGTGTGGACATTTTGATTTAAGTCACTACAAGAAGCTAGTGGCAGTTACGTTAGTGTGGCTCTGTATGTTTCAGGTTTGGATCACTAGCCTAAAGATAGAATTAAAGAATAGGTAAATTAATGTTAAAAAAGGAATTGAAGAATATTGTGGATTAGAGCACGAGGAGAATCAGCTGAGAGGCCTTTAGCATGCTTAAGAAAGAAAACAGGTAAGTAGAATAGGGACTCAACAAATAGAAAGTATTTTTGTAAAATGCCAGGATTTGATGGTGCGGAGCAAAAGGAGAGGGAATTGAAGGAGATTAAAAAACTAAGGTAGTAGCTAAAACCATAAAACTTCTAGAAGATTATATAGAAAATTCTTAGTGACTTTGGGTTTGGCAGAGAGTTCTCAAAATAGGACACAAAAAAGCATAAACTTTGTAAATTTTAAAAACTTTCTGAAAGGCAAATGAAAAGGCAAGAGCAGACTGGGGGAACATATTTGTAGAACATAGCCAACAAAGTATTTGTATCTATAAAGAACTAGGATATATATGAGATGGAAAATAAGTGCATGAAAAGATGCTTAATGTAATGCTCAACATTAGTCATTAAGGAAGTGCAAATTAAATGACAACCAGGTAACTGCTACGTACCTTTCAGAATTGTTTTAAGTTTGAAAAATAAAAACAACTATATCAAGTGTTAAGGATGTAAAGCATCTGAAACCCTCCTGCAGTGGTGGTGGCAATGTTAAATGCTACAACTGCTGTAGAAAAGCTGAACAATTCCTTGAAAGTTATACATACACATTTTATATGACTCAGCCATTCCACCCCTGGATATTTACCCAAGAGAAACGAAAGCATATGTCCACATGAAGAGTAGTTCGCACATTTTCGTAGCTTTATTTGTAATAGCCAAAATATCCATTGGTAACTGAGTGGATAAATTATGGTATAACCATATAGTGGAATACTATTTAGTGATAAAAAGGGGACAAAAGGCTGGGTGCAGTGGCTCATACCTGTAATCCCAGCACTTTGGGAGGCCGAGGCGGGCGGATCATGAGGTCAGGAGATTGAGACCTTTCTGGCTAACGCAGTGAAACCCTGTCTCTACTAAAAAATACAAAAAATTAGCCAGGCCTGGTGGCAGGCACCTGTAGTCCCAGCTACTCAGCAGGCTGAGGCAGGAGAATGGCGTGAACCTGGGAGGCAGAGCTTGCAGTGAGCCGAGATCGCGCCACTGCACTCCAGCCTGGGGGACAAAGCGAGACTCTGTCTCAAAAAAAAAGGGGATAAAAAATTGGTACACACCACATGGATGAATCTCAATGTTGTGTGACAGAAGCCAGGTAAATACATACTGTATGCTTCCATTTATTTAAAATCACAAAACTACAAAGTATAATGAGAAAGCAGATTAGTAGTTGCCTAGGGGTCATATAGGGGCTCATTTTGGGGACATATTTTAAGCTTCTCCTCCCTGGGAACTGACCCTAGTGATGGAGAATTTGTTGGAATTTCCTGTGGAAGGTGAGTCTGATTTTTAATTAGGTATCAAATGTTAGTATAACATGTCAGCCAGGTGTGATGGCTTACGCCTGTAATCCTACACTTTGGGAGGCTGAGGCAGGCGGATCACTTGAGGCCAGGAGTTTGAGACCAGCCTGGCTAACATGGCAAAATGCTGTGTCTACTAAAAATACAAAAGATTAGTTGGGCATGGTGGCGCACACCTGTAGTCACAGCTTTTCGGGAGGCTGAGGCACAAGAATTGCTTGAATGTGGGAGGCAGAGGTTTTAGTGAGCCTAGATTGCGCCATTGCATTCCAGCCTTGGTGACAGGGTGAGGGTCTGTCAAAAAATAAAGCAAAGAAAACCATGTCAATGAAAATACCTTGGAGAAGGGGTCAGGGAGCCTGGCCAGTTATAACAAGTTCTTTGAAGTTGGTTTAATAACATGCAATCGAGCTTCCTTAAGGAAATGGCAAATGGATAAGAATCCGTTGGAAAAACAGTATGCATGAAGTCTGGATTAGACTGAACTGATTCACCAATATGTTTTACAAGGCTAGCGTAACTGATAGCAAGATTTGAGGATGGACCAGCTGGGTGCGGTGGCTCATGCCTGTAATCCCAGCACTTTGGGAGGCACAGGTGGGTGGATCACTTGAGGTCAGGAATTCGAGACCAGCCTGACAAACATGGTGAAAACCTGTCTCCACTAAAAATACAAAATTAGCCAGGCGTGGTGGTGCACACCTGTAGTCCCAGCTATTTGGGAGGACGAGGCAGGAGAATCACTTGAACCCAGGAGGCAGAGGATGCAGTGAGCCGAGGTTGCGTCTTTGCACTCCAGCCTGGGCAACAAGAGCAAAACCTCATCTCAAAAAAAAAAAAAAAAAAGATTATGAGGATGGACCATAAGGTTGGAGTGGGGGAGTCTAGAGCCCTATTAATACAGATTGAAAAATCATACATAAAATGGCAAGTCTAATCTACTAAAAGATAAAATGATGACCAAGTTAGGGTTTATCTCAGGAATGCAAGACTGCTACAATATTAGTAAACATGAAGTTCTTTATATTAAAGGAGAAAAAGCATATCCTCTTCATAGATGGTAAAATAGCATTGAAAAAATCCAACACCCTTTCTCGTAAAAACTCTTGGTAAGCTAGGAAAATAAAATTTTAACCTGAAAGAAACTACGCTACCCATGTTTAACATAATGCTTAATGGTGAAGCTTTGGATTTAGTTTCAAGGTCAAGAGTAGAAAAGGATGGACCACAATTATTTCCAATTCTTTTGGAGGTTGATGCAATAAGACCAAATGAAGGATAATTGTAGGAAGGGAAGAGAAAAGCTAATCCAAGAGCAGCTAGAAATGAATTTTAAGACTACACCATAGGTAACATATCTCCCCCAAATAAACAGAAGTGGTATTAGAAGAAAGAATAAATTCTAGTGAGCCGAAAAGCAACAAACGTCCACCACACTGCCTTAGGGCCCTTGTACTTTTGGTTTGTTTAGAAAATTTCTTTGTCTGACCCACACCCTTCAAGATATTTCAGTTGACTTTTAGGTTGTGACTAACTAGGTTGTTAGGTCAACCAAGAAGGATAAGAATTGGTGTATACATATCTGAGCTCCTTGGGACCTCTGGATGAAATAACTCTTACGGTGTATGTGTTGTGCGTTTACCAGATGGTTTCCCAGCAGGATTAAGCTTCCGTTTACCTATACTTGCAGCTTTCTTCATACTACATCTTTTGTTGGCTTTCTTCCCTTCCCTATTGCTAGTTCCCGAGATCACCTCCCAAATAATATCTCAAATCCTTAAGCAAATCCTCTGATTTGCTTCTAGGAAAACTCAAATGTTGGGAGAGAGGAACTTAGAAGGGACAGCAAAGGAAAACAAAATCACTGTTGTTAAAGCTTTGGTAAGCCAGTTTAAAATTCAAAGTTTAGAGTAAAAATGCCTCAGCTCAAATCTGAATCTTGTATCTTACTTCCTTCAACTTAAAGAGGTTCCAGACACCAAAAAGGAAT